TAAAAATAATTGTTAGAAGTTTTAAGAAATAATCTACAGAAAGCTAGCAGTAACAGAGCAGAATGGGTTGAAACCTATGAAAATATTTCTGCTAAGTGAATGCCAGGTAGCCTCCTAGTTGGCTTAAATATCAGTTTAGGTTTCTGTGCTTTGGTTGAGCTCCACATGGAGAAGATTGAGAAAAAATAATAATTTTTATTATTGTAAAAATACCATTACTTTATCTCATTATTGCTCACCAGCTGGAGTTAGCACATATTACAAAATGTAAAACACAACAATTCACTGTTTAATTTATTCTATGCTGTTCCATCTGATAGCTTAATATATTTTTTTAAAAAATAAATCATTAAAACACATTTCAAAAATATCTAATATAATAGCATTTTAAAAGACCTGGTTGAATGATAAGCCTGAATTCATTCTCTAACAAAGAAGAACAGATAAATAATTTTTAATTTAATTTAATTAAATAATTTGAGGAAGTTCTTCCATAGTGTGGGAATTATCTTCAGCATGTTGAATGAATTGGCTTCTGAAAGCAATGCCATCTTTAAGAGAATTCTGCAGTTCTTAATAACTGGATGTTACTTAATTTGATTTGATAAATGTGAATTTTGCAATTACTCTAATGGACCAGTTTGGTACAGTGATTAAGCCATCAGACTAGAAACCAGGAAACTGTGATCTAGTCATGTCTTAGATACAGCTAGGGCAAGCCACTTTTCCTCAGACCTAAGAAGGAGGCAATGGTAGACCACTTTCAATATCGTGCCAAGAAAATTACAGCGAGTAATCCAAGCAGTCATTAGGAATCAACACCGACCTGAAGGTACATATACAAAATTGTTCTAATAATTAAGACTATACTGGAAGTGGCTTTTCAGCTTTTTTTTTTAATTGAAAATTTTTATAAACTTTTTACAATAAAATACCCCCCTCCCACCCCATAACCCTCCCCCCTCCTTCCCAGAGCTGAATACAGTGTTAAAGAAACAGGAAAAAAAACATACAAATTAAATGAACATCAATCCACTATACATATATCCCAAAAAATTTAAAGTACTTTAACTCCAGTACATAGAAACTACAAATCAACCATACCCAGTTTAAACTATAAATTATTCAAAAGCTAAATAATACTTCCTAATCCCATATTTATTCTGTACAAAATTCTTTTCAGCTTTTTATTAGAATGCAAAAAAGCTTTACTGATATGTGTGAAATAAGTATTCATTTATAATTCCCTTTATCATGGGTTTATTATTATGATTTAAATTTATTATGGCCCCCATGAAGCCAAATGTGGCAGCTCAGTCTAAAAATAACTCTACCATTAAAACATGACAAGGGCTTTACAGGATACTACCTCCAGGCCTGGAAACAGAGTAAAGAGGAAGACCTTAAAGGTCTTCCAAAACCTAGGAGAGTGGATGTCATAGGTGTCTCTGGGATGAGGATATTCCAGAAGGCAGGGGCTGCTGCAAAGAAAGTATGTTTCCTTGGTCCAATAGGATGACTAGTTTAACTGAGAGGACTGAACTTCAGAAGTGATTGGAAATAAGCAGTCTGTCAGATAATGAGTTCCTATGCCATGGTTCAGTTGTCAGACTAATTTTTATACCATTTCTGTCCCTGACTCAGTTCTTACAAGGCTTTAAAGTCTTTCTCAACATGGACACTTGAGATCTTGAAGTTCAACCCTGGAATCTTAGGCAAGCAAAGCTTTTGTTCATCCAGTGAGCTATGGTCTTCTACTTCTCTCCCTTATACTTAGTGTATAATTCATAGTAGAGCAGAATTTATTTAACCAGGGTTGCTGAGTAAGTCAATGGCTCAATACCTGTATGATGATCAGTTGCAAATAAATTATACTCTGCTTTTGCATCATGTGTGAATCTAACCTCTGTGTCAGCCTTGAAATCTAATGCATAGGTTGGCCAATTCAGTCCCTAAATTAGAGCACTTACCCTTAAATGTCCTTCATTAAATGGAAAGACTCATGCCAAGAGAATAATAAATTAATTGACATTATCCACAACCTGGTCTAATGGAAGTAAAAGTGAATAAAAGGAGTTAGGGAGAAAGAGATTGTCTTGTTTTACACAGACTACTTCTTGATTTTGCCAAAAGACATCTAAATTTAGAGACAGCTCAGATGGTTTAACTTATACTTTCTTCCAGGCATTGCTTGTATGTGTTGGCCAACCTAGCTTCCCTTAGATTGACTTAGACTCCCTTAGGCTTACTCACTTCCTTAGACTAACCAATACTTGCCAATTTACACCTCTTTTTACATATGACCTTTGCAGTTTAGCCTATTATATTTCAAGCAATTTTATATGTTTTTCCGTTCTCTTTGTGATTCTTCTGCAAAAGACAATGACTTACAGTAGATATATATTCTTACAAGCTGAAAGAAAACTGAAGTCTGATTAGAACTGACCAGCCCAATTTTAATTCCTCTAGAGAACATTGCCATAAAGGACTATTATTAAAAACTTGGCTAGACCTGTTCTCTCACTTCCATTTCCTTGGGTCCTCAGAGGGTCCTTGCCTTGATCCTTTTTACGTATATGCTTTGCTAGAGTGAATTCAGCTAAGATATCTTTAGCTACCTGTTTTTGCCCAACACTATAAATCAGCTTGGACATACAGAACACCCCATAGTGCAATTAAAAACTCAGAGTCACCCCTAGACAAGGTAGTTGGTATATAAATCTAATGTTAACAAATAAATAAATGTTAATAGCATTTGCTATTTTATATGCATGATTATATTTGACATTAGTTTCATCATTTTTACATTCTACTTCAGCCTTTTTTTCTCCTATCTGAATTTCTCAGATATACAGAATGTTATTTTTCCTTTCACATTAATCTGTATTTTTTTAAAACAAAACAGTTGCAAAACTGAACACATCTGCTCTTTCATCTATATTAGTAATAGGCTATGATCATCTACTTCTGAATATAAATAAAGGTAAAGTTTACCTACTAATTAATCTGAAAGCTATTTAGTTTGAACAAACATCTCTCCTTTTGTATTATTTCTAAGTTTGCTGTACAAAATACAAGTTGACGTTATATTCCTTTGTGATACAATTCAAATTTTACAGGAATATGTCTTAGATTTCCTTCAGTCAAGCTTCATAAAATTTTAAGTTTTCAGTTTTGGGGGGGAGGAGTTGGTTACATTTTGACATAATGGAAGGTTGCTGTTTTTGTATTGTTAGTCTTTGTTTCCATTAGAGGTAATTCTTGACATACAACCATAATGGGGACCAGAATTTCCATTGCTAAGCAAAGGTTGCTAAGTGAGCCACACATAATTTTACAAGCATTTTGCCATGGTTGCTAAATGAATCATTGCAGTTAAGTAAATCATGTGGTCCCTCCCCTCCATTGGAAGCTGGCTGAGAAGGTCATAAATGGTAATCATGTGGCCTCAGCAGGCTGCAACCATTGTAAACACATGCCAATTGCCAGGTGTTGAATTTTGTCCATATGACTGTGGCACTGCTGTACTATTTGTAATTGCAAGTCATAAGTCACTTTTTTCAATGCCGTTGTAACTTTGAATGGTTGCTAAATGAATGGTTCTTAGTTGAGGACTACATGTGCTGAATAAGGGTATAAGATTTTTATTTATCATAGTGATAGGAGAATAGTTTAATTTTTGATCTTGATTTGCTCATTTCTCTTGAGCTAAACATGATTTTTTTTGCTACATTGTATACTTTATAGAATGTTGTATATATTCTATTAATTGTATTCTAAGAACACAGCCAGTTTGGTCTAGTGGTTAAGGTACCAGGCTAGAAGTCAAGAAATTGAGTTCTAATCCTGCCTTTGGTATGAAAGCCAGCTGAGTAACTTTGGACCAGTCACTATCTCTGAGCCTATGCCATATGCTCGGGCAATAAGCTGCTTGGTTAATTCCTATGACAACCTTATTTGGTTGATCCAAATAAAAAAAAATGATCTTGTACTTGCAAGAAAATGTTAAGAAGAGAAAAAAACTATGGACTGAGAAATTTGAATAAAATACATATGATGTCATTTTGGACAAAAATGTATGCCCCGGCCACCTTTAATTTCTAATGGCTATATATATATCCAAAGGGAAGACAATCATGAATATAACTTAATCATCACTCCAAAAGAATGGGACATACAGTAAATAAATATAGTAAAAATAGTTCAGAAAATCCACCTTTTACATCTTATCAATTTAGCTGACATTCCAGTTGAAATCCTTCCTTTGCCCAATAAAGATTTCCCTTGAAAGATTTAACAACCAACTAGTGACTGTTTAAAGATACAGTGGTGTTGAAAAAATGACTTTAACTGGTCCTCACACTTAAGATTGTCATGATCACATGATCAAAATCCACATGCTTGGCAACCACTATGTTTTTATTATGGTTGCAACATTTTGGGATACTTTACTGTTACCAACCAGAAAAGTCAATGAGGGAGGCCATATTCACTTAATCATTGTATAATTCACTTAATGATCATGGTGATTTGCTTAATGACCCCAGCAAAAAAGTTGTAAAATTGGAGAAGTTGTAAAATTAGAGCCATATCACTTAACAACTGCCTCACATAGTTCCAGTCCCAATTATGGTTGTAAGTATATATGTATGTACACATGATGCAATCTATGTGGCTGATCATGCCTGTCAGGTGCCACACTTCAAAAATGGACAGATGAGGAAATTAAAACCATCAAATTAATAACTTATTGTTTATTAGCAATAGTATTTCTGTATTTATTTTGCGCTATCCTATCCTATCCTATCTTATCTATTCTATCCTACCCTACCCTATCCTACCCTACCCTACCCTACCCTATCTCCTATCTCCTATCTCCTAATATCTCCTGTCTCCTATAATTTCCTATATCTTATAAATTCCTATCTCCTATCATCTCCTATCTCCTATCCTATCCTAATCTATCCCATTCCATCCCATCCCATCCTTCTAATTCACAGCTTAATTATGCACAGAGGAGGAAACTGTGTCTTTCTATCAGGTAAATACAGCATGCAGATAGACAGACAATGACAAACGAATGTTTCCCCCACTTCTCCAAACAAGTTTGTTCAGTTATGAATGAAACTAATGAAAAAAGGATTTGATAAGATACCAAGATATGTATTAACCTATAGTTTACTAAATTCACCGATTTTGTATCAACATAATCATCCTAAGTATTATAGTTAATGCAGGCTGGCATTAGCCATTTTACTAGAGGAAATTCATTGTGAAAACTGACAAGTATAATCTATCAAAAAAAGTACATGAAGAGAACAAGCATTATGAATCTTTTGACACTGTTTCTATGAAAGCTTTTGACATATTGCATAACAGTATTTCTTCACCTCAGAATAGTTAGCAATTAAATACATTCCTCATTTGACCAGATTTGTTTTACTAGCCTGCTTTGGCAAATTGTATAAAAGAAATGTGTGCTCAGCATGGTGGAGAAGCTTTTTACTAATCTGAAATGATTATGCCAATTTCTAGACACTTCAGTTAATCTAGTTACAATAGCAGACTGAACATAAATAAGTGAATTATACAAACTCGCATTATAAGTCTCAACTTTAAAATTAAAAACAAAATCATTTTAATAGAATTTAAATTAATTTCCAAATATATTCTTGATTTATATATTTCGTGAATATAAAATATGACTTTGGAATACAGAAATATTGTGGTTCTTCAGCTAATGTACAATGCATCATGATCTAAAAGTCCTTGAGTTTGCTTTTTTAAAGCTCTGAAACATGAATAATTAGCTATAGCCAAAGATATGGCAATTTTCCCCTTTCCACAAGTTTCCACTGTGCAGAATTTTCTATCCAGTTCTTTCTCCCTTAGAATGACATATTTTGGATATCCCAGGACCACAGTATAAATAGATATTTAAGATTAATAAGTCTGTCTGCTTTTAGGGGTGCAAATGAATGTCTGTGCTCCAATACTTTATAACAGTGGTGAGCTAATCAGTCAATTATTGAACAGTGGTGAAACTAATATTAATAATGGCATGTTGGTTCACTTTGGCAGAAAACCCAATAGGATTTTGGAAGATTTTTTAATCCTCAGATGACTCAAAAGTATTTTATAATTTTTTACTAATAAATACAATGCTTGGAACACCAGACAACTACTTGGAAACTATAAATATCAAACGAAAGCCCACAAAAATAGTTAAATTAAAAAATATATTCAGCTTGGCTTATTTTAAATTCATGTTTCTGTTACCAATCTAAGGTTTTAAGCAACATATCCTTGGCTAGACTTCTAACATGAAATAGGCATGCAATTTTATAAATATTTCCTAATAGATATAATAGTTGCAATACCATAAAACCATTTGAAAACTATAAACACATACGTACAAGAATCTTTAAACAATAAGCATTTATTTGGAATGACTTTATCCTAAATAGTTTCTTCCAGTGCATTTTTATAGGATACCATATGCTGTGTCTGGTTGAAGAAAAATACCTATTATTGCTTTGACACCAAATTCTGACAATTCGGTCTAGTGGTTAAGGTGCTGGCCTACGAACCAGGAGATCATGAGTTCCAGTTCTTCCCTAAGGATGAAAAACCAGCTAGGTGGCTTTGGATCAGTCAATCTCTTTCAGTCCAACTCACCTCACAAGGTTGTTGTGGGGAAAATAGGAAGAGGACGGAGTATTAGGTATGTTCATTGCCTTGAATTATTTATAAACAATAGTAAAGATGAGATAAAAATCAAGTAAAGGTTTCTTTTCTCTTTTCAACAGGACATAAGGACCAACTGATAGCTCTTACCAGAGATCTGAGTGGATCTTCTGAATATATCTCAGAAATTAATCATAGGCCCATCAAGCCTAGGACCATAGGTTGCTTATTGCCTGTTTTAAGCAATTTAAAACATAAGGAGCGAGCACCTACTGTTGCTTTTTCCCCTGATGAGAGATGTATGGCCATTTACTGATGGTGTTCTTATTTGTTTGCATGTTCTGATTAAAGGTAAAAGTTTGGTTCCAGAACAGACGGATGAAATGGAAACGGGTAAAAGGAGGGCAACAGGGAGCTGCAGCCCGAGAGAAAGAATTGGTAAACGTGAAAAAAGGCACTCTGCTCCCTTCAGAGCTTTCTGGTATTGGTGCTGCCAGTCTCCAACATACAGGGGACTCCCTGGCAAATGACGACAGCCACGACAGTGATCATAGCTCTGAGCATGCACACTTATGATAAGGCAGGAAGGAATCCTAGCTCTGTTCTCAGGAAAGCCATGTTTAACACAGCGAGCTTATGTGGACATTGATGTATGCAAGTGACTGACTTTCTGACAATCAAAATGAAAGTAACTTAGGACTTACTATTTCTGCTACTCTTGAACTATTATTATTTTTTGTGCTTAGATTCAGTAAGTGCCATGCCTCCCATGTGCCTTGTGAGTAGAAACAGGAGATACATTTGCTTTTGAACATTCCAGATTCGCTTGTCCTTTCAGTGACAATGGAGCAGATATTGTTGCTTTAGCTTGCATCAAACAATGACGTTGCTTTCCACACAGTGTCAACAGAAACACTATCTCAAGAGGATAAGAATTATATTTTAACTCTGTATATATCTACTTTTCCGCATTTTTACTTTTCACCATTTTTAGCTGTGCATTCATATTAGCTGACCGCAATAGTCACCCATGAGAATAAATGGCTTTTTTAAATCTATTTTTTGTTTTGTGTTTCAGAGTTATAGAATACATGCAGACATTTACATTCATATAACAAGTAGTATAAATGAGTCTGCTAGTTGAAATCCTTATACCACAGACAAAACAAATTTTATGTTGCATTTACTATCAACTGCTGCTAATAGGAAATTATTAAACCTTGTTCCTCAAATCTTCTTACTTTCTAACAGCAAAGATATTTTTTAAAGAATCATGCCTATTATGAAAATAAAACTAAATCTTGATTAATAATTAGAATTTATTATTACAATAATATAAAAGGCATATGATTCTTGTAGCTGGATATAATTCAGAGTAGCACCAGTATATCCAATAAAGCTGCTTAAAAATGAATTGTGAACAGTATTTTCTTACAAATGGGAAAGTTGTTACCTTCTATTATTTTGTGTTAGTAATCAGGTATTAATTTTTCAATATTAAGTATTCAAATCAATAAGGTAAAGTTCTCTGTGTTATGATCAAGTTTTATTAAATATGTTTGTGTACAGAACACAAAAATAAGGATATTTTCTCCCCTCTTTTAAGCTTTTGTGTATATACAATGAAATAGGAACAATCCAAAAATTTAAACAAAACATTGATTGTACTTTGTAAAGGAAATGCTTAATAAATGTTCCTTTTGAATAAGACTTGTTCTTCTTTAGAGTTTTATGGACAATTCAAAATATTAGAACCATAATATTCTCTATGGTACCTATGTTTGCATTATACAAATGGGGCACTTCATATTGGATAAAGCTTTTACCTTGATCCAATGGGGAAATTCTTTCCTCTAATAGGAAAAAGCAATCTGAAAGAAGCCTTTTGCCAAGAACAACATGGACTATGCTAAACTACTTTTCCAGGTTTCATACAACTGTGAAATGGATATTTTTCTTGCACTTACTTTCTGGAAATCGAAGGAGGGAAATGGCAACTTTAAAATGTGGTGTAAATTAAACAATCATCTATTATGATCACAACTATTTGAAAAGACATAAGTCACCCAACATTTTTAAAGAAAATAAATTTTAATAAATAAATATTAAATGGAATTTAACTAATAATAATGTAATATCCCATCTCATCATAGAATTTGTCAGAAGAATAATTTGAGATTCCAACTTGAGCAGGGGTTGCACAAGAATAAATAAAAATGAGATCCACACAGTTGTGAGGAAAGAAGAAACATTTATTCCTAAAAGCAAAGAATTTGCTTTTAGTGGCAGCTGCAGTGAAATGGGGTATAGCAACACAGTTTTTATATGGGACCTTGTCCTGGTGTGAAAATGTCAACATGCTGATTTTAGGGTGATACTTGAGATATTGTGTGTGTGTGTGTGTGTGTGTGTGTGTGTGTAGGTATGACTATGATGTTTCTTCTTGTGAACATGCAATTCTGCTGGGAGATCTAATTTAATTTATTTGTGTTTACAGACTTTATCCTTTAATATGTGGATTAGGCTTGATAATTTATTTGGGAGTTTGTGAAAGTCTGAGTAAAAATTTCCCCCTTTTGCTATTTTTACTCGATTAAGTTAGTTCATCTTGACTGTCAATTATCTAGTGGAGATACTGATTCTCAGTCCATTTATACACACACACACACACACACACACACACACACACTATATATATATATATATATATATATATATATATATATATATATATATATATATATATGTACAAGGGGACAATTGTGAGAACTTTTATATCAAAATGTATTTTATTTTTTATACTGTTTCCATATCTCATTAGAACATTAACAAAATCCACAATGGACTGAGAATTAGCATCTCCACTAGTTATATTTATATACAACATACACATTATTAATGAGCATAGCTTATAACCATACATTTTGTATATTTGTAACATCATAAGGGAAACATCTTTAAGAAGAGTAGTTCATTAATTAACACTGTTAGAAAAAAACAATGCTGTAGTAATTCAAAGTTTTTAATCCTATGTTCTATGGACTGAGAAATTACGTTGAGAGGAAAATAATTTGAAAGAGTCAATATAAGACCAATTATCCCAACAAGTGATAACCTTCATACTCTGGTAAACCCGGTCTACTACAAGTTTTTCTTGGAGTTTCATTTGATGGGAGGTTCTTTTATAGTCTTATTTTGCCCATATGCATTGTTGATACATGGTATATCAATAATAATAGCATATATTAGAGTATGCCAATAGTTACAAGCATACAAATGATTATCCATTTTTCCCACTATTCCCTTGTTCCATGAGTCCAGTATATATCAGTCAATTCTATTACTCTTCAGTGATGACACTCTGGTAGGTTGGTTTTGGCATCTGTTGTGATCAGCAGGAAGAGATGCAGTAGAACATCATTGGTTGGTAAAGGCTAACCAAGTTCAATGCTATTTAATTTTCAGTAGCTTGGAGAACTATTCCTGAAGTGACTGTTGAAGTCTACTGAATCAAAAGACAATTGCTAGCATTATTATGGGGGAGCCAGGTTCCATTAACACTCACGATACATCTATACCCAGTAGAGCCAAGTCTGTTATTAAGTGTCCAATCAGGTTCCATATTGATGATATTGGACATTTTTCAGATATATTTCTGTAATTCTCAATTATGTCCAGCAGGAAAGCAGGTTCTTCTTACCGCATATGAGAAGGTGTGCAAACCTTCTCTGTTGGGGGAGGGTTCTCTTGCTAAGCATAGATTGGGTGAAGCTCAACAAATTGAGATTCAGGATGGCTTAATTTCAAACTGACTTTAAGTTCCATGATCAGGCTGTTTACAATCTCAGAATCTGGTAAGTCTCCTGTTATGAGCCTTATCCCAGTTGCTATCCATACTGTGATAGGATTATTTGCATTCACCTATATTTTAAGGCAAGACTTGAACTGTCTTTTACTTGAACTGCAATGGTGTCTAATGCTTTCCCATTTCTTAATAATTACCCAGAATAAGGTTTTGCAAAGTTGGATGGGTACCTGAGAATATATTTATTTCTTGTATTGCTTCCAAAGCCAAGAGATGGAAGCATTTTTTTCATGTTTCAAATGGACTATTGCTTAATCAAATACTGTTCTCCCTCCTCCCTTTTTATCCTTACCAGATAATATGTTAAGGAACAAAGATGAAACCCAGTAAATATGCTCTCGTGACTCATTTAGGATTTTTTAAAGATAAAACACAGGTAAAAGCTAAAAAAGTCACACAGCTTTAGATTTTTTTTTCTTACTGGCCCATATGGAGTCAACAATACTGAAATGTCAATTGATAGGGTTACTGATAGAGGATGGAATGCAAATTTGTCTTGGAGACAGCACAGTGGATTAGGCAACGGTATGCAGATTAGGCTACAACAGTTGGGAAAGCAAAAATGTGCCTTTTTCCTATGGCTGAGAGAAAATACCCAAAGTCATCGAGGTGGCTTTCATGGCTGAGGTAAGACGTGAACTCACATTCGTCTACTTTCTAACTTGGTGCATTAAACTAGGGGTTCCCTAGGCTGTGGTCTATTTGGAATTGGGCCACGCAAGTGGCAGACGAGTGCTTGCATAAATGGCAAATATTTGTGCTCATGAGTGAAGCTCCATTAGTGCAAGTGTTGGGTACTTGCACTTGCACATGAGGCTCTATTTGCATGGAACCATCCCCTTTCCTCCCTCCCCCCACTGCTTTAGACTGATTCTTATCATAAATTTGTTTTCCTTGGTTTTAAGAGAAAGAAAAATAAGTTTAGCAACTAATCTCCTCTTTGTAATGCCAAATGCATTATTAATGATACAGCAAGATAAAAATATAACTATCACTTAAATTTTGCTACACATCATATGTTAACTTCAGATATTCTGAATCTCATTTCTTAAACTTTCATACTACTGACTATATATGATATAAGCTTTTCTCCTGCTCCTTCTCTTCATCTAAACTAGACTACTCTTCTAAAACATGGCATTCCTTTCTCAAACTCCCCTTTCTACATACAGTACAGCTACAAATCATTAATTTTCTTACAAGCAAAGCATACATATTTATGAAAATCAAAGATGTAAACATGGCACCTATGTTTATCTATACATTCCACTCATTTCTTAAATGCAGTTTGCAAATACAATAAGCATTGGGCTAGCATTACTTTTAATATACTCCATATATATGGAGTTTGGAAATCAAGTTTTGCTAGGTTGTGGGTTTGCAGTTTATTCCACTTAATTAGCACATGTGATAAATAAAACAGTAAGTTAACCAGAATTAATTGAAGAAACCAGCTGACTAAAGTTAGGATTGATTAAATTATCTACTGAACTATCCTTGCAGCATTGACAAACACATTACAGACAGGAAAACATATTTGATCAAGACGCTCACACAAGATTTTCAAAACAGAACTGCCCCATTTTGGGGGACAAAGGATTAAGAAAAGGATGGAAAAGGACAAAAGAGATTTCTCTCCATATTGCCTTGCTGGCCAGGCAACCCAAGGTGGGAAGATTATTCCTCACAGTTTTCTTAAAGTCAAGAAAGATTTAGCAGTTGCAAAAGGTCAGAATAGGCTGCAGAGTAGAGAGGGATTAAAGAGTTCACTCATCCAACCACACAATTCACTCACTTGTTCCCTGGGCACAATCCTCCCCCTTAAAATTTGGAGGTGCTTACAAGATTTTTCTTTTCAAGCAGCTGTCTGATTCAAAACTCAAAACCCCTTTACTACAGGTGCCAAACAGGCAGAGTCTAGGAGTAGGACCTACAGACAAAAATGGTCTTCTGCTAGCTGTGTGAACTTACACAGGCTAGGTCCACTAGCCAGGTTAGTTTTGAGTTCTCATCTGGGTGCCATTCATCAGAATAATAATTTGGGGTTCCAAGTCCAGCAGGGTTGCACAAAAATAAATAAAAATGAATTCCAGATAGGTGTAAGGAAAGAAAAAATATTTTCCTAAAAGCAAAAAGTTTGCCTTTAAGGGGTAATGAAATGGGACAGAGAAATACAGTTTTTATAGAGGACCTTGGAAATGTATGGAAATGTTAATGTTTTAAGGGAAGATGGAAACAATATAAAAAATAAAATATATTTTGATATAAAACTTCTCACAAACTCAAACAATTTGAAACTTAAGTTTTATTGCAATTTGGCAATTATGTGAACACTAAAAGAAAGTGCACACAATAATCAATACTGAAATTAAAAGTAATTCTTTTCAGTGTGACCCTTGATCTCAATGTTCTGTTCTTTTGTTGTACAGCTATATATATTACGTGTAACATCTTACTGTGTAGGTTCTTCTTATTCTCTTTCAAATCTTAAGCTATCCTTTAATTGTATGACAAAAACTGGTCTTCCTAACGTACAACCAGAACTGCCCTGCAAAAATATGAATCACTAAATGCAATAAAGAGATATACAAAACTTTTTTGTTGCCATCTAGTTGTCCAGATTTTAGCAGCTCAGATCTGGTAGCTCTATGTAACTTTACTTAGTAGTTAGGTAACATTTATACAGATAATCCTTGCCTTACATCCATTCATTTAGTGACAGTTCAAAATTACAATGGCATGTTCTGATTAAAGGTAAAGTTTGGTTCCAGAACAGACAGATTGTACCATGGTCATATAATCAAAATTTAGATTCTTGACAACTGACATTTGTTTTTAATGGTTATAATGTTCCAGCATTATGTGATCACCTTTTGTGACCTTCTGAGAAGCAAAGTTAATGGGGAAGCCAGATTCATTTAATAACCTTGTTATTAACTTAACAACTGAAATGTTTCATTTAACAACTGTGGCAAGAAATGTTATAAAATGGGGCAAAATTCATTTACCAACTATCTTGTTTAGCAATGGAAATTTGGCGTTCAAATTGATTGTAATTTGAGGACTACCTGTACAAGTTTATCTAGAGAACTATAGTGAATCACACTATCTGGCTCTTGGGCTGCCATTTTAAAAATACAGAGCTGTGTCATGTTAATGGCCTTTCTTGATTGATCAGTCAAATAGTGTGGTGTATTAGGTGCCAAGTCGTAACAGTTTTGTACTGAAGTATTTGGCTTTTCAATTGCTTTATTCTTCTCTCTTATCACTATCTTCTATTTTATATGGCCTAGCCTTACCAGGTATACAGGACCATTATGCCACAAGCAGCTGAATTTTTAGATGCATATATCATGATCAGTTTGGCCTAAATCAGTGATGGTGAGCCTTTTAGAGACTGAGTGCCCAAACTGCAACCCAAAACCCACTTATGCATCGTCGGGTGCCGGGTGGGTGTGGCCTATTGGCTGGGTGTGGCCCATTGGGTGGGCATGGCTGCAGTGGTAATGGCAGACTGAGTAGGACTAAAAAGTTCAGTCAATCAATTCCAACTTTGCAAGATCTTTTTTTTCCTGCGAGAAGCTAAAATTGACTGATTGATTGAACCTTTTTTTTTTTTGCACACGGTAGCGGAGGCCTAAAGCGAAAAGGTTTTATAAAACCCAGCTGAAGGCCTAGGGCTGGGGCGATGGCGCGCATGCCCACAGAGTGCCACCTTTGGCACCCGTGCCATATGTTCACCACCAGTGGCCTAAATAGTAATATTTTGGATGTGGTGCCTTTCTTGACCCTGAACTGAGCAGATTCCTTGATATTTGGAAGAAGAAAACATAGATGTAACTGATATTTTATCTCTAAAAATCAGATTTTTAAACTGTCATATAAGTTTATTTGACATAATCAGATGGCAATTTTATGCATTTGAATTCATTGCACATAATTCATGGCCCTATGAATTTTGTGCAGTTAAATTTTGGCCAAGCACCTGCAAAAGTCCTCCATTAGTACTAGTCCCTAATCTTAATTAGGCAGATGAATGTACTATGCCACATATGCCAGCAATGTAAATCTATATGCTTTGGATTCTACTCTATTAAATGATGAAACTTCAATTTTTTAAAAGTTAAACCTTGAACTTGATCTTTTGTCTCCTTTCTTGATGAAGAAAAACAGAACTAGTTAAGAACAAAATATTAGTTCAAGACTGTGCTGAATTTTCTGAATTTTTTCCAGTTGAGTCTCTTAGATCAATATATATTTTGTATCTGTACAAACAACCCATACATACAATGAGGGATCAGCTTGAGATCTGAAGGAATATTTAACAGTTTCTGTGTTATGACTGAATGTACTATTTATGGATTTTTTTTCCTAGAAGATTTGTGTATATAATTGGTAATGACCTTAAATAACAACAATAAAAGGCTTTTTGAAGATAAACAGAGAACAAGGTCCCTAAGATCTGGCAGCTATGTTTCTAATAGAGTTAAAACAGAGAGACAGGGAAGGAGGGGATGGGGAGGTACAATTTGAGACATACAAAGACTCAAGTCTTCCATCTGGATGAACTTTCCCCTTTGTTGTTCCTTTAATTGCCTTGCACATCTCAGGGGATCTACTAAGTTTATAGGCAAACTCATGTGCTCCATGGCAATCTCTGGAACAACCACAAAAAAACAAAATTTATCCCCAGGGATGATAAGTCTTCTTATTTACAGGATATTTTCCATCTGAAGACAGAATTACTGTCCTAGAACTATCTGCAAAAATGCCTTGCTGCTCATTTCCTTTTAATATAGGTATTAAAACCTAGTTATCTTGTATGGCTATATTAAACTAAGTAATTGCATAGCCATTTAATAATCTTTTCTTTTGGTACATATATTTTCATTCATTCAATTAATAATCACTTTTTAATTAAAACTTTATAGAAATAGGAGTGAAATCATTTTTATTCTCATTTTATTCTACCTTGAAATAATTGTATATTACAGAATACAGAATAACAGAGTTGAAAGAGTCCTTGGAGATCTTCTGGTCCAACCCCTGCCCAAGCAGAAGATCTTATACCATTTCAGATAAATGGCTGTCCAATCTCTTCTTAAAAACCTCCAAAACCTCCAGCACCACAACTTCTGGAGGCAAGCTCATTCACTGATTAATTGTTCTCACTATCAGGAAATTTCTCTTTAGTTTTAAGTTGGATATCTCTTTGATAAATTTACATCAGTTACTACTTCTCTTGCTCTCTGTGCTTTGGAAAATAGACTGTCTCTCAAATATTGGAAGACTGTTAACATGTCATCTCTATTCCTTCTCTTTGTTAGACTAGACATACCCAATTCCTGCAACAGTTTATTATGTTCTAGCCTCTAGACTCCATTTGCATTTTTTGCAATCTTTCTAGAATCTTGACTTCAATTTTTGTATAGCAAACAGAATTGGATGCAATATTCCATGTATGATCTTATCAAGGCAATATATAGTAGTACTAATACTTTAATAGTTCTTAATACTATTCTTCTATTGATACGGCCTAAGATCACATTGCCATCTACAGCACATTGCTGGTTCATACTTAAGGGATCATTCACTAGGACACCTAGGTCCCTCTCATTGCTATTGAGCCAGATACTCGCTCAATGCTATGTCGGTATATTTGGTTTGTTTTGCCTAAGTGTAAAACTTGTTTTTTCTCACACTGAATTACATTTGATAGGGCCCAATATTCAATATTCTTTCTAGATCTTGAGTCTATCATCTAAAGTGTTAGCTTTCTTTCTAGCTTAATGTCATCTGCAAATTGGATGTGTTCTCTTTCTATTCCCTCATCTGAATCATTTATGAAGATGTTGAAGAGTACTGAACCTAAGACAGAACCTTAAAATATCCCAATGCATTCTTCCTTCCATGTAGATGTAGTTCCATTGAGAATTAAAAATATACTGTAGATTATATTCAAAACCATCTGAATGTTTATGTGTATGTACAATTAGATGTAACACACTCTCTTAGTAACTTCCAGGAGTATGTTCCCCAAAAATTCTTCTGAGTTTTCAAGAAATTCTATGGAAAGATCTGGGATATATTCTGAGTAAGTACTATGGGAGAAAGAGAAAAAAACATGCATGGGCAGTGTTCCAGATCTTTTTGACTCCTGATGGCAGGGGTAAATGTTCATTTGCATTACAAAGCTTATATTTGCATAATTATTTTACTAATGTTTTCCAAGAATGTTTTTTTAACTCTGCTAGAAATGAGTGACATGGCCTAGAAGTGAAGCAAGAGAAGGCTCTCTCCCACATGACCCATATTTATATTTTTAATATTTCTTAACACCATGTAGTTGTTTTCTGCCATTGCATTAACCACACCCATTTGAAGAAGGAATCAGCAAGGCTTCCATATGATTGTTTTATCCTGATGTTTAATTTGGATGGCTCTAAAAACATTAATAAGAATATACATGAAAATCATTTTGAATAACATTTATACAAAAGATAGCAATAGCACTTAGACTTATATACCACTTCACAGTGCTGTACAGCACTTTCTAAGTGGTTTACAGATCAGCATATGGCCCCCAATACTCTGGGTCTTCATTTTACTGACCTTGTAAGAATGGAGGAAGATGCATTTGTCTTAGTTTTATAAAAGGATGTATCATTGGTACACCCCCCCCCAAGAAATTGTCACAGATTTATAAAGATTTCTCAGATGTATGCTAAATATAATTGTTTAAAAATACTTTTTATCATCTCTGGTGGACTTGTGATAAAGCACAGAAATATTGATACCAAATTTTTGTCTTTAATTTAGAAGATTCTTAAAACAAATATAAAACTGAAAGCAGACATTTTCCTTTTAGGACTTATGGACAAAAAGCATAAAAGAAAATTTCATCTTTGTTATTATATGTTGACAGTGGCAAAAATCTTATATGTGCAAAAGTGGAAAGAGATATAAATTCCCCAAATGGAAGAATGGATGGAAAGAGTGATAGAGTTGACAGTCATGGTAAAGTTAACTGTTTTAATTAAACAGAAGAACTTATCCAGTTTGTTTCCACATGGAAATCAGTTCTGGATTTTATCCTTAAAAGAGAAAAAATGACAAAGTGATTATTAAATTAACTTCATTATTATAGAAATCATTTGTATCTATCAGAAATGCATAGCAGAAAGTTGAGGCTATAATTGTATTTTCTATTTTACTGTACCAAAAGAGTTGAAAGTTACTGATTTTTTAAATTTTAATTTTCTTTTATCTTATACTTCTCTCTCTGATCTTTAATTCAATTTGCATGTTTTATTATCATAAATTGTAATATATGTATGTGATATATTCATCTTAATGATCTAAAAAGTTTTAGCTGCCCTCTGGAGGCCAGTTCTTAACATTTCATATTAGTTCTATACTCCAGCAACTCTATATTGAAATTTTATATTAAAATTGTCTATATATACCTATATAAAAATTCATATTTTTGCGTAATATTATTAACATAATTGTTTAAAACCTGTACAATACATAATTTCTTATTTTCCATTATTTGTGGTTTTATTTTCCTTTTCTGTTTTAGGAAATGCTTCTAAACATTTGCAACTACAGATGCAAATATCCAGCTGATAAAATATTGAAAGATGTGGTTGCTAAGATACATTTTATCTTTCAAATAGTCTCCATAAAAGACTTGCACAGGAGTATAGACACTCCAGCAAAGAAATAAATATGATCCATCAGAAACAGTACATGGCATTCCTTTTAACTTTTATGTACACTTATACATATGCAATTTAAAAAGGAAATGTCTGTGTGACCTTTTAATTCATAAAGCATTTCAACTGGAAGTCAAAATAATGTTACTACTTTAGACAAACAGAACTGCCTATTTGATTGTACCATGCATGTACAACCCTCTAAAGCAATTCTTGTAGGACTTGCTGTTTCAGAAAATTAACTTAGCCTACTTGGAGATCAGCACAAACAATTCCTACTAATTATGCCTTGTCTAAAAATGTCTTTGGCAGGCAAAAACACCAACCTGCATAGCTCCCTGTATTCTAAGATTTACTATTCCCTCTCCTGGAGGGGAAGGAATAGAAGTGTCAAATTGAATAGTTTTTTCTGTACAGCTATGCAGAGAAAATCTTGCTCTTACAGATCATGTATGCATGAAAGTATATACCAGTAGACTACATGCAACTAATCAGTACCATTTTAAAGAACCTTAGACTTTTCTCAGACCAGACAGTGCATAATTTATTTTGGAAGCTCCATTCTTCTTGCTTTGGACATTTTGGGAGAGTTAAATGGCAAGAGAGCCAGATATTAGCTAGAAACAATGAGGTTCTAATTCTGTTGTAGGCTCAAAGACAGTTGGGTGAGCTTAGGGCAATCACTCTCCATCAGCCATAGGAAGCATTGAATATGCTTTCAAAAACTGCAGTGATTTGTCCAGGGAAGGAGTCCATGTTGATTCAAAAGCACAATTATGTACTTATGACAAAATGAATATTCTGAATACATGTCCAAGGAAAAGGAGGAAGAGGAGGAGGAGGAGGAGAAAGAGAAGGCCCACAATATTTCAATCAGGAAACAGGAAAAAAGATGAGCAGTAATGGTATCCAATAATATAATAGGAATGTCAAACTGGTGGCCTGCGGGCCAAATGTGTCACACACAGGCCATGCTCACCCCAGTTCCACAAAGGCAAAAAAGTCACGATACATCACAATACGTCATGTGATGCAATCAAGTTTGACACCCATGTTCTATAACAAATGGGGAAAAAACTTCAGCTTAATTGGGGACATAGTAAAAACAATAACAAAAATAAGGAGGAAGATTAAAAATGCTACCATCTACATGTTGCATAAAGTACTTTTTAACATTTTAACTCACTGAGGAAACCTTTTTTTAGTAAACAGTGATTTTTTTTGTAACTTGTTTTCTTGGGGATGGCAAAAGTTAAATTAATGTTATGCGTTTTGAAATGGTCAAATCTTGTATTAAAACTGAAAATTAACTTTATGATATAAGATTTATAGCAAACTTTATAAATTTATGGAGTGTCAATTAGCCAACATAAAATCATACAGAAACAATATCAGTTTCTTGGAAACCAAGATAAGTATGGTGCTTAACAAATGTGCAAGGCTGGCTAAGGGGGGAAAAGAAGTTAAGCTCCTTCCACTCAAACGTCTGCCTTGAATTTCTCACAGTTTTTGCTGACACTTTGGCTTGTTTCCAGCATATATCACTGGATGTCTGGTATGAAAAAGGCCATTTGTAGTGTATGAAATTCCTGTTACTGAAAGAGAAAAAAAGATGGATTAATTATTCTCTGGGCAAGTGTTATTTTAGTGAAGTCACATGTCAGGCATCATATTATCTTAGAATAGCCTAAAATTGCCATATTGTGCCAGTAAAATACAGCAGAGGATAATATAAATTAGAATTAAGAGGAAAATAAAACTGGGAATTTGGTGTAATACAGAATATAGAGAAGGACTACATTTAAAAACATTAGCAGTCTTTGAACTCAGTCTCCATGTAAATTTCTTAATATGAAACAAACATCACATTTATTTTTACATCTTTAAGTTCAGTTCCTTTATATTCTAGTTGAAACATTTCAAGGAATTACCAGATTTTAAAATGAAATTATTGTTTTTCCTCTTGCCAATTTTACAGGATATCCCCTCCCAAGTAGCAATATGTATTAATAATTTGAGTTCTTCTGAACCCAGATGGCCCAAATTCTTATATTGAAATATCCACCCACCCATCTATCTATCCATCCACCATTCCTAGTCTAAGAAAAATTTTTAAAAAATGTACAAATATTAGGGATTGCACACAATACATTGTAAAGTGCGCTATATGTAACTCATATACTGTATACGTGACTGTGCAAAGCATTAGAAAGAGGCAAGTGCTATGGGAAAAGTTTTATCAATGGCTACTCAAATTTGTGAAGTCTCTCTTTCAAAGACTTAAAGTTATACATAAGTATTTATATCAATAAATATAGTCATTAATAATCATGGAGTTAATGTTTCCAAATTAAATAACTGATTCTTCAGATAAGTTAGTAGATAATAAGGAAAGAAATATATTTTCAGTTTTCCTATCTTAACCCATAGTGGATATTTTGGAAGAAATTCAACTGTTAATTAAATTGTTCCTTCCTTACTGTTTATTTTGCTTTCAAGCCTTAAATAAAGTCCCTTCAATAATTTAAAGCCATATAACAATTCACATAAGCTATGAATCAAAATTTAAGCCTTAGAAAACAGCTGTAAAAATAAAAAAATGATCATATTAACAAATAAAAATCTTGATAAAAAGCTGCATAAAGGAATATATATAGCCAGATTTAAAGAACTTACACAAAGCCAGCTGAAATCTATTATTTCAATGCAATATTTTTCCTCGAATAAACATTTGCACAGATCACATAATTTAATTAAGCAGGCAAGTAAAATAGGTGCAAGTAAGTCATAGTTTACTGTGGCCATCAACTTTGCCTTTTATAAGTGTAATCCTGAGATGTTTACTTACATGAAGGTATCCCAGAATGTGCTGTATAGGATTTCAGTCTAATTCCTTTCAATGATTTGTAATGTTGGGCATGCTTCCTTTAACATTAGATGCTGTTTTACAATGTAGAACTCCACAAAGTACAGATGCAGATGGGATGCCCAAGAGAAATTTTTCCTTTCTGAAAGAACTCTGAACAACAAACAGATAATCCGGCCATGTCATAAATTGCTTTTGGCATTGTCTGTACTTCGAACACTGGACTTTATTTTGTTTTTTTCTAGTTATAGTCTACATACATCTGGATAATATCATTGGTTACTCTGTACTGAAAAGATTACCCCTCCCTTCCTTGACATACAAAAAGTATGTTACAGGATTGTGCCTAATCTTCTTAATACATACAGAGCATCCCAGTACTTTAACATTGGAAAGATACATTGATGACCCCAGTCTTCTCAGCAGACTGAAGATCTGATGTTCTTTTTTTTATTTAAAAAAATTTATTGAAAGTTACAAAATAAACCCATTTACCCTCCCCCCAACCCCCACCCCCTGACTTCCCGGAGCCAAATACAGGGTATTTCAAACATATTAAACATAATCTAATTAAGTTAACAAATATATTAATCATAAGCTAAACAAGTTTAACAATTTATACAACAATTAAAATCATACTTAAATCTTAACTCCCTTTGAACCTTAATAACATATCATAAACAAATCAGTTTATAATCAATTGTCATATAATAAAAAAATAATTTAAATATTATTAATAATACATTATTTAATCATAAAATAAGTGGAACTTTTCAGTTCCATATTTAATCTTAATATAATCTATCCATCTTCTCCATATCATAATGTATCTTTCTTGTGTATGATCCTTTAAATAAGCAGAAATTTTAGCCATTTCTGCTAAATTAGAAACCTTAAATGTCCATTCTTCTAATGTAGGCAACGAATCCTTCTTCCAATATTGACCTATCAATAACCTTGCTGCTGTAATTAAATTCAACATTAAAACAATATCTTTAACATCAAAATCCTCAAAAATCCCTAATAAAAATAGTCGAGGAGTAAACTTTATCTTCCTTTTGAAAATATTTTGAATGTTCCACCAAATCATGATCCAAAAGGCCTTAATATTTTTACAAGTCCACCAAATATGAAAAAAAGTTGCATCAAAACTACCACACCTCCAACATTTGGGCTGTAAATTAGGGTACATACAAGATAACTTTTTAGGATCCAAGTGCCACCTATAAAACATTTTGTAAAAATTTTCTCTTAAATTTTGAGCCTGTGTAAATTTGACATTTCTGATCCATATTATCTCCCATAAATCCAATGGGATTGCTTCCTGAATATTCTGAGCCCATTTTACCATACAGTCTTTAACCAATTCCGTTTCTGAATCCAATTCTATTAAACTATTATAAATTCTTTTTATATGTGCCTTATTCTGATCTTTAATCTGTGTTATCAAATTTTCATCTCCTAATGTTATCCCCACTTTCTTATCTAAAGTCCACCTATCCACTATTTGTAAATATTGAAACCATGACTGTAACGTATTTTCTTGTCTTAATACATCCAAGGACTTTAATTGCCAGTCATTGCCAGACCAGATAAGTAATTCTTTATACGAAATTTTCCCAGAATTCATCCCCTTCGATATTCCCTCTATTGCATGTTCAGGAATCCCCCAAATAGGTATTTTATAATTTAACCTATAATAATATTTCTTCCAAACTCGAAGTAGGGCACTTCTTAAAATATGCGATTTAAAAGCCCAGTCAACTTTCTTATTAAAAATCAAATATGCATGCCAGCCATATAATAAGTCCCACCCTTCAAGAAAAAGAATATTTTTATTTGTTAAGTTAAGCCAATCACTTATCAAAGTTAATGCGGCTGCATCATAATATAATTTTAAATTGGGTGCTTTAAGCCCTCCTCTTTCACGAACATCTTGCAAAATCTTAAACTTCACCCTTGGTTTCTTCCCCGCCCATATAAATTTATTAATACCTTTCTGCCATTCATCCAAATTAGCATCCTTTTTTTAAATGGGTATCATTTGAAACAAAAAAAGAAACTTTGGTAGAACATTCATTTTAACAGCTGAAATTCTCCCCAACAACGACAATTGTAATTTTTTCCAATTATTTAAATCCTTTTGTACTTTTGTCCATAATACTTCATAAATATTCTTATATAATTTTCCATTAGGAGCAGTTATATACACTCCCAAGTATTTAACCTTCTTCACTATCTGAAAACCTGTAAATCTAGCTAAAGTTTCATTATCCTTCTCAGTCATATTCTTAGATAATATCTTAGTCTTATAATTATTAACTTTGAAACCAGAAACTTTTCCAGATTGAGTTATAAGTTCTAATAAATGAGTAACCGATTGAATCAGTTGTTGTAAAGTTAGAACTAGATCATCTGCAAAAGCTTTTAATCTGTAATCATTGTTATTTATTTTTATTCCCTTAAGTAATGTAGACTTTCAAATTTGAATTAACAAAATCTCCATTGTCAGCACAAATAACAGTGGAGATAATGAACAGCCTTGTCTTGTACCCTTTTCAATATTAAAAGTCTCTGTCAATCCACCATTAATGATTTGAGCAGACTGCTGATGATATATAGCTTTGAGAGCATGTAAAAACTTATCTCCAAAATTCATTTTTTCAATTAATGAAAATAAAAATTTCCAATCTAATTGATCAAAGGCTTTCTCAGCATCCAAAAATATAAAAGCCGCTGGAATCTGATTATTCTTATCCAAATACTCAATTAAATTAATAATTTGTCTTGTATTGTATTTCATATATCTTCCTGTTATAAATCCTGATTGATCACTATGAATTAAATCCTTTAAAATCTGCATTAATCTATTTGCCAGAACTTTGGAAAAAAATCTTGTAATCTACATTTAAAAGAGATATAGGTCTATAATTTTTAGGTTCAGTAAGATCCTGATCTTCCTTAGGAATTAATGATATAAAAGCCATCCGCCAAGGAGGGATCGAAGCTCCCAACAATATATTATTAAAAGTTCCTTTAATGGCTCTATCATTTCTTGACATAACATTTTATAATACTTAGCCGTTAATCCATCTGTGCCCAGAGCCTTTCCAATCTTTAACTGTTTAATAGCAAAACTAATTTCCTCTGAAGTAATTAGGCAATTCATCGCATTTTGTTGTTCAATAGAAAGTTTAGGAAAATGTACTGATTGTAAATATTTCTCTACATCTGAAACCTGTATGTTATCACTAGCATACAGTTTTGTATAAAATTCTAAAAAGCACTGTTTAATCAAATCTTGATAAACTTCACTACCTTTATATTTTACTTTCTCTATAATTCTAGCCTTCTGTTTTTTACGTAATTGATAAGCCAACTACCTCCCTGGCTTATTAGCATTACAAAATGTATTATGTTTCATGTAATGCAAGTTAGTTGCAACCTGATCTGCCATTAATGTATTAAATTGCTCCCTAAGCAACTTTATAGAAACCTTTAACTTATTATCCATTGGATTTAGCACAAGAACCTTTTCTTTAGATTTAATCTCTTCTTCAATTTCTTTACGTTTTTGAATCCATTTAGACCTAAATGCCTTGTTCATATGAATCACCCCCCCCCCATGTAGGCTTTACTAGCATCCCACACCATAGACATTGAAGTACCCTTATTCATATTTAAGACAAAAAATTCCTTCAAATGTTCTCTACATTTCTGCACCAATTCCTCGCATGTGAATAAATTTTCATTCAGTTTCCAAGATCTTCTATTCCCACCTTCTGTAGATAACTCCAACCAAACAGGTCTGTGATCAGATAAAGTCCTAGGAAAAATCTTGACTTTTTTAACTCTAGAAAGAAAATCAGTGGAAATCAAGAAAAAATTAATCCTGGAGAATGATTGATGTCTGTCGGAATAAAAAGTAAAGTCTTGTTCATTTAAATTCCTCTCTCGCCAAATGTCTGTAAGTTCCAAGTCACCTTTCATATCAAAAAAAAGCTTTTGGCAATCTAGTTTTATTAAAAGTTTTAAAAGAATCCTTTTTGTCTTTCCTTGTGTCCAAAACTCCATTCCAATCACCCATCAAGATCACCGATTTATAATCCAACTGATTTATTTTACCATACAAAAGCTTGTAAAATTGTTTCTGTTGTTGATTTGGAGCATATAAACCAACAATAAGGAGTTTCTTGCCTTGTAATACTAACTCAATAATAACATATCTTCCTTGAGAGTCAGAGTCAATTAGTTTAGCAGATAAGTTTTTTTAACATAAATTACAAGTCCCCCTTTTTTTCCGGGGGCAGGAGCTATAAAATGCGAACCTAAACGAGAATTTGTCAAATATTTAGAGTCTTTCAAAGTTAAAACTCTCCTGTTCCGGCAGGCCTGGGGCTGATGTCCCCGGGGGGGGGGGCGGGATATGATCGGACATGCTGTATGATTGTATTATTTTATTGTTTTATTGTTGATGATTGTTTTAATTTTGTATGCCGCCCTGAATCCTTTGGGATTGGGCGGCATATAAAAAAAATTAATTAATTAAATAAATAAATATGAGTTTCTTGCAAACATATCACATCATTGTTATACTGTTTTAAATACTGAAATACTTTTTTTCTCTTCTGAAGTGAGTTCAATCCATTAACATTCCATGTCAGTAACTTTGACATCTGAAGCCGCTTGAAGCCTTTGAAGCATGACTTGTAAATCAGCTGTAGATGATCTCTTTGGTCTTGCTCCTCCCACAGCCTCAATAGCAACAGTTCCTTCTATTTTTTCACTAGCCTTTTGCTTCTGTTCTTTTTCCCTGCGTTTATGCGCAGCACGAGTCATCCTTTGTTCTTTTATCTCTAAAACTTGTAAAGCAGGTTCCCCCTGTAACTCACTAGCAGTAGCTCCTCCAGTTGCTTGTTCGTCTCCAGCTTTGCTGGCTTGGGGAGATACAGGTGAACCAGCCTTCAGAATACTAGAATAAAAATCTTTTGCCTTTAACACTGTATTTAATCTATAGCGCGTTCCTAAGTAGTTCATCACTATCCCAGCTGGAATTTGCCATCTGAACTGGATTTGACAACGTTTAAGTTCCTCCAATAAGAAAGTAAATTCTTTTCTTTTTCTTAAAATTTTTGGAGGTATTTCTTTTAAGATTATAACATCTTGATTTGCAATTTGTTTATAAAAAGCTTGTATAACGCTTGTATAACTTCATTGCGGATTAATCTTCTGGAAAAATGTATGACCACATCTCTTGGTAAATTTCTTTGCCTGGCAATCCATGAATTCACTCTGAAGATTTTTTCAATCCCCTCCCAGATCTCTTCCGGCTTCCATCCCAGATTAAAAGCAATATCTTTAACCACCAGCTCTTTTAAATCCTCTTGTGGGTTTAATGTGCAGAGCTAATTCCATATCTCTATACTGTGAAATAAGTAATTCATCTTGAGTCATCTCTATTTTATGCTCAACTTCATCAACTCTGCATTCCAATTTCTCTGCATTTTCCATCACATCATCCAATCTGTCATCAATTCTCTCAATATGCACAGCAAGACCTTGAAAAGCAAACACAATATCTTCCCTCATAATTTTATTCTTCTCCTCCAGTAATTCTGCCATTGCAGCCCTCTCTGAAGCCAATTTAACATCCAAAAGATCTGCCATCTCTTTAATATCTGAAGCAGTTTGTTTTAAAGCATCTTGTAGATCTTTAAATGAAAAGGCAGGTGGAAGGGGAGAAGGAGGGGCGATTTTGGCTTAGTTTGAGAGACAGTCTGAGGCTGTATCATCGGAGAGGAAATGGAAGCTTTTGGAACCGAGGACACAAATCTTTTTGAAGCCATTTTTAAAACAATATCAGGAAAGTAAAAGTCCACAGTCTATACAATGTAAATTCCAGTCAGTAATAATAGAAAGGAAAAGAAAAAAAAAAGAACTCAAAAAATACTAACCCCAAAAGATCTGATGTTCTTATAGCTTATAAATATGTTGCTTACAGCTTTTATCTCTGTGTCTGTCTGTCTGTCTGTCTGTCTGTCTGTCTGTCTGTCTGTCTCTCTCTCTCATATATATATATATATATATATATATATATATATATATATATTAATAAGAATAGTGAAAATAATATATATATTGCCCAAAGTGGGGTGAGGTGCATGGATAAAAACCAAGCTAGGGCGGGGATGGAGGATGGAGCTGCCCCACATGCCCTTCACTCACTTACCTTAGGACAGTTGCAGCTAGGTCCCACATGCTGACACCTGCCTTGCCTTGCTGGCCCAGTTCTTCTGCGGCTGTTTGCCACCACCTATGTGCATTACCCCCGGCTTCCGTTTTGCTGGCAGAGGCCTTCAAAAGTAAGCTTCAGATTTATGCGCATGGTGCCCCCCAGCTTCCTTTTCTTGGCTGCAGAGGCCATTCCTGAAACAGAAGCTTTATATGCCACACACATCAATCTGAAGCTCATTTCTCAGTTGCAGAGGCATTTCCTGAAGGTTTTTGATGGAGAAATGGAGCCCAGGGGGCACCGCATGCATTAATCTGGAGCTTGTTTCTCAACTGGAGGTCTTTCCTGAAGGCCTCTGCTGGCAAAACAGAAGCTGGGGGCAATGTGAGTGAGCAGTAGCAAGTGACTGCAGAAGTGGGCCGGTGAGGCAGGGGTTGGGGTATGAGAGGCCTGGCTGTGGTGGTCTAAGGAAAGTGGGTAAGACATCCCCTGAAAATAAGACCTAGTGACTGTTTTGAAGGCAAAAAAAGTGTGTGCGTGTACACGCACACATACAACACACACACGGACCTACACATAAAAGTATGAAAATTACACACACACATGTAAATTTGTATTGTATATTTTAACTTTTCTTTTTCTATTATTGCTGTTTTTTTCCCCTCTTTGTTCTGTTTTATCTGATAAATGCAAAAATAAAAGGGAGCAAGAAATGAATTTAAAAGAATAACAGACAGCCACTTTGCTTTCTTGGTTAAGACACCAGATTAGAAACCAGATTATGATTTTTGGTACTGTTTTAGATATGAAAAGCAGCTGGATGACTTTTGACCAGTCATTTTCACTCAGCCAACTTATCTCATAGGGTTGTCATTGTGGGGAAAGTAGTGAGAGGAAGAAGTTTTATGTATGTTGTCTGCTTTGAACTATTTATAAAGAAATATAATAAAATATATATAATAAAATTTACCTAGCTAAAATGGAGGGGAATATCCTTCTAAAATGAAATAAATATAAGCCCAAAATAACATTATTACTTGTAAATTATATTGGGTATAACAAACATTTCCTGACTATAAACCTTTCCCCACAGCAACTCATATAAGAGGAAACTCCAAACTTTAGCTCTAAGTGATCACTTTTCTGAGAGTTCTGCCTAACTGTGCTTATCCTATAATGTTGTTTGTATTAATATGATTAATTTTTGTGTATAACTGTTGAAAGGACAACATGTTGAAAAATGCTGAGAAATTAAGCTCACTGTTTCCATTATATTCACAAATCAGTCCCATCAGCAAAATTGTGATAGGTTGGAAATATTTGCAAGTTAAAACATAATATATCTTAATCATAAATTGGCTAACTTTAAGCCTCTGCTTTAATCATAACTCTCACCAAATCATTTAAATAATTATTTATTACCTCAACAATTTATTCTTTTGTTAGAACAGAATGAAGTGAATCTGTTTTAAAACTACTATATTTTGACTGAATCTACAATAAAATCTAAATATTAATATGAAAAGCATATGCCTGCCTTGTGTGGGTATAGCCTAATATTGACGCATTCTGCAATTTATGTGCTGGCATTTATATTAATATATAATTAAGGTAATAAACATAATATCAAAATAAATCAAGTGGCAAAATTCAGAAATTGGAGTGGATTATTGTGTTTATACAGGGTATTTGGTCATAGATTTCTGCCATTGTTAATGACTTCACAGATAGAAAGGCTTTGGAAAAATAAAAGTCTATATTCTAAGTCAGGTCTTTTTTTAAAAAAAAAACCACTGCAATTAAGGATTTTGGATTCATAAAATGAAATTGATCACAGATGTAAACAGCTTAAGGAACTCAATCAACAGAAAAGAATGATAGGAAACTGAGCATTGGAGAAGACATTTGCAACCTTACCAAATACTTTTGTGTGAAGAAGTTTCAATTCTTTTCTGCAAGATCTGTCAGGAAAAAACAAATTTGTAGTATTTACTTCCCTTATTTATTTTTAAAGGAAAAATATTATTATAGTCCTGCTATAATATCACAGAATTATTACAGGTTGAGGACTGTGTAAAATTTGCAAACTGATTGCACAAGAAGTCAACACAATTGTTGCTTCAGCTTTCTGTAGAAAAAAAATACTATCCTACAATCTTTGCTAATACTGATTCCCACTTTTAAAAAAAAAAGTGGGATAACTTTTATTCCTCACTACCTTTAAAAGCCATATATTACCAAGCTTTAATTTTTGACTCTTTTTCTGCCTCTTTCTTTTACTATACCTCCAACAGAGATGTTCTGATTGTCCAGGATATTAGATCAATATTGATTCAAGGAGAAAAGTGTCAGCTTTTAAATCCTCAAATCAACATGTGATGATGCTACCTACCTTTTTCACTTGACCTCATGCCAGTTTATTTCTGACATTCCCTGACCTCCTTCTCCCAATTGGATTATATAATATTGATGCTCAGAAGATTCAACAGTCCAAATACAGACACATACTGTAATTTCCACTTGATGAAATTAGCTTATCTAAAGCAGTAATTTCACATGATATATTGGGTGTAGTAGTTTACTTGAGGAAAAGGTAATACATATAATACACCACACAATAAACGTGCATTGCACACAATAAATCAGTTTTGTAATATTCTTGGTTATATTTACAGATTACAAAATAAAACATTCATAAGACCTAATCATTTGATTTCTGGGAAAATCTATTATGGCATCTATGTTACCTTTATTCTGAGGAAATTGGGGCAGGGGCAATAGTTAGTCTTCTTCTAATGTGTTGGACAACATATATGTACTATATATAAGAAATAGCCTCACATTCTTCATTGATATTTATAAAGATAGATTTTCTAGGAAAAAAATGTCTCAAAGACTCTATTCATTTCCTACAATTCCAAGCCAGCCCTTGCTGAAATCAGCAGGATTATTATTACAAATAATGGGGTTTGGGCAAACTTAGAGGAATCATGCCATTCTGCACCTGAACATATTCATCTTTTGGCAAAAGTACCTTTGATGAGTGAAGGGAGGGAGAAGAAATTTGACTTTTTTTTTTCAAATCTGACAAGAGGCTCTTAACAACTTACATACCTGTGGAGCACCTGGAAGAATGATTTATGACAGCTGGGTTGCATGGACCCACAATGGGCCTCAATTATTAGATTTCAAAGTTAGTATAAAATCTTACTAGTTGTACCGAGCAACAAGTCTGCCTCTTACATTTACTGCAGTTTAGAAACTAGCTGTAGATAAGATTTGCCTATGGTCTGTAGGAAGTTACATTGGGAAGGTAGATCTCCATGTAGCAGGCAGCAAAGACTATATTTCACAACTGGCAATTTGAAACTGGTTTTCTTTATATGATAAAAAAGGGTAGTTTGCAGAACAGGCTAAGCCATCCTAAGCTGTTTTCTGTAGAAGTCTCCTTCACCAAATATGTGAAGATTCTAAATCATTCTGGTTATAGTTGTCTCAAAAGTGCTTTTTAAAACAGACAACTAGATTTTTTTTCCTTGAGGAAGAAGTACAAAATGTTTTATAACTAAGTTAAAGACAATATTGCTTCCTGCTATACTATGCTGGAATTTGTATGCATGTTGGTGTGGGTGAAATAAATATTTGGTGAAAAAAAAACCCATCATCAAATATACCCAAATTCCAGCATACTGTTGAAAGAAAAATCTTCATCAGGATCCAGTCCAAGCTGGGAATAAACAAAATGGAGACTGCTTTAGAAAAAAAGGTTCTTATTTATTTAGTTGCTGCAAACTTCAGTGACAACAGCATGTTTCTAGGGTGGCTGACCACATGGTGCTAGGAGTGGTGGGTTTTTATACTTTTGGGGGCTTTTGTGTTTGGAGTTGTTCTTGTTCCTGTGGCATGAACTTTGACCTTTTTTGTATTCTGATGGTAGTGGGTTAATCCTATTATGTCCTAAAGGTCATGTCCTGCTTCCCTGGGGCTGGGGCTGATGGCTATGTCCTGTGATGGATTTGGGAGTGAGGGGCTGCTGGTTCTAATGTTATCACTCTGCTATTGTTAACTATCAAATCTTGCTCCAAAGGATTTTGAAAGATCCTGTCTTGAATGGCAGTATTTGCTCATGAATGGGGACTCAAGAGTTTCTGAAGGGATTATCAAATCTGCATTTCTACAGAACTGGCTTGCTGAGTTTCTGTTTGGAGCTATTAAGAAAACCTGGGCCTGCTTTCCTTTGGGGAATTATATTCTGTTTTTTTTAAATATTCACTAAACTATTTTCTTCTCTGGGGGGGAGAGAGTGCTGTTTCTTACAATCTCCTCTTTGTGCTATGTAAATGTGGGTGACACACTTTTACTGGCACGTGATTGAGAATTGATCTGGTTAGGGAGACTTGATAAATAACCTTTTAAATTGTTAATGCAGAAAGGGAAGACAGCAATAGAGACAGCAGAAAAAGATCCCTGCAGTGGCTCCCAAAAGGGGAGCTCTTCGACCAAGAAGGTCTAAAGCCAGGGCAAAAGTTCTGTTAAGATGGAAAAGAAATGTACAGTGGCCAATATTCTGTGCCAATTCTTTTAGATATTGGATGTCACTTTGAGCTTCCAGTCAAGTTTGCACATGCCTCCCAAAATTCTTCACAGCACGGTTTGCTCAGTACATAACTATTTCAAGGGTTGCTTACGTGAACCTGCCTTAGCTCTTAATTTAGTGCATCCAGATTTTGTGAAGTCCAATTGAGGTTAGCCAGTGTGCAAGTCAGGCTATTAATATTTCTTAAATTGCACACAGTGAGCCCTAGGACTCCCAATCTGAGTCCACCAGTGCAACATAATTAGGGCATGGGTTTGGAGATCTCTTTCCTGCTACCTCCTCAGTGAGGGCATATGAATTCTAAATTGCCTGAGGGGGCTTGGTTCCCTCCCCAATGGAATTTGCAGGAAGGTATGCATGCAAAAGCCTTAGTGTGACAGAGCAAGGACCAGCCTGGGGAGCTTTAATGAAAGTAGATGAAGGGGATAGTAATTCTGAATGATGTATGTGTGTATTTGTGTGTCTGTGTGCGCTTGCACACACACACACACACACACACACACACACTTGTGCATACAGCTATTTCTTCAAGAGAGGCAATATAAACATCCTGGATAAATTTTCCTTCCCATCAAACAGAAATCCATGGTGTTCAATACTCGTTGTGCCAACCATTTCCAAATGTCATCCCTCCCTGAATCCATTTGACTGGCTTATTACAGTACAAATGAGGCAAGAAAGAAAACCTTACAGTGAGTTTCTGCACTCCCTCCATAGACTTTCCAATTGTCTTCTGAGGCTTCACATGGGGCCAATGGATCCAGGAGTCCTTCCTCTTTCTTCAGCTTTCACGGGTATCTAGGTCATGGAAGAACCTGGGAAGATTTGTTCCACTCGGTTGCATGGTGATTTTCTAGTGGATGACTGGATCCAAACCCCATTTCCTGGCTCAAATGAATGGAGGCAGCGTCTGGATCAGTGTGCTCTGTTTCCAAAGGATATGGGGGTCATCTGTGCAGGGCTGAAAGATATGAGAACGGAGTCCCCTTTCCCCTTTCTGGGTGACTATCCCAGAAGAGACATTGTTGGTCAGACATGAGGAATGGAGAACAGAGAATAAAAAAATGAAGAAGCAAAATGGGGGGGGATAACTTGTAGACAACATTTGAAAAGACATTGATATTGCAGTTGTTAAAGAAACAGATAAAAAAACAAAATGGGGACATCATAGATGAGGAGAAAAAAGAAGCTGAGCAGCTTGAGAATGCTGAAAGCTTTAAAATTATTTTAAGGTGTACAATTTGCCAGGAACAAGAGAGATAAAACAAAACAGATAAAACCCATTTACAACACATACAGAAAATGCATAAGCAAACAAACAACATTTTCTTTCTAAATGAGCTTAAAACATTGTCTCCGAACAAGGGAAGAAAAAAGAGAACTCAGTTCTCTTCCCCCTTTTTTACTGATCAGGCAAAATAGGGTGAGGTTATTTTCTTTGGTGGCTTATTTTAAACAGAATTTCTAGCAGAATTTTAAAATTCTTGTCTCTAGGGATTAGAGACACTCAACAGTCACATTTACCTAATACACAAAGACTTTGACAAACATATAAACACAAATAAATGGAAAATAGAAGAGGAAAACAGAACTACAGGTTTTCACACCCTAGTCAATTCCGCCATAAATCTTAGTTATCTCAAATTAGGGAAGACACAAATCTTAAACATATCATGTAGTTGCATAGAAAGAGAAAGCGAGGAGGAAAATATCACTGCTCCTATATATATTTTCCTTTTCTTTTAAGTACCTATATTTAGCCAAATTGGTTTTTCCTGCTTCATCCCTGAGCAGAGTTCAGTCCTGCATTACTTATGTACATGCTTTTAATACTTCCCACCTAGACGGGCAATTTATCCCTGTCCCAGACATTCATCCATCTCCCTACAGGAGACCCCGGTGGGATCCTAGATCCTGAGCTTCCCATGCTCTTTCCCACCATCCGCGATGAGATTCCAAGGCTTTCTCCTTGGTTCCTTGCAACATGTGGAATACAATATTTGTGGAATATACCATCCCCAATAGGTGGAGGTACCTTCTAACCTGTGATAACCCTTGGTTTTTCAGGCAAATGGCCTGGGAGGACTCTGTCTGCCATGATTTCAGAGTATGGGTTCCTCCTTTCCAGAATAGAACTCTGCTCAGTGATTCTTAGCTAATTGTCCTAATCCAATTCTCTCACTCACTTTTCCATTCTATTTTCACACAGCCTCTCCCTTTTCCATAACAAAAGGTCCTGTACCAAATCCTCATGCTTTCCAGAGTCTGCCACCTGAACAGGTTAGGAAAGGCCAGAGGGAGCAAGATCCAACTGTGATTGGGGGAATGGTCTTCTCAGTCACACACACAGACTTACACACACTTTCCTTGCTCCCTTGGGCTTTAAAGTTAAAATCTAGAGATATTTACCTTCTTTCTAAAGCAGCCCTTGAGGTCAAACTTAAAATTCCCTTTAATACCTTCACTCCAAATGGCCAGGGTCTGGGAAACCCATCCAGAGACACAAGGTGTCTGCTGCTGGCAAGATGAAGGCTTACCCAGGCCCAGTCCATTGGAGAGATTAGTTTAAAGTCCCATCCTGGGTGCCAAATTGTTGAAAGAAAAATCTTCATCAGAGTCCAGTCCAAGCTGGGAATAAACAAAATGAAGACTGCTTTAGAAAAAATGTTATTTATTTAGTTGTCAGAAACTTCAGTGACAGCAGCATGTTTCTGGGGTGGCTGACCACATGGTGCTGGAAGTGGTGGGTTTTTATACCTTCTTGGGCTTTTGTGTTTGGAGTTGTTCTTGTTCTTGTGGCATGAACTTTGACCTGAGGTTCAGTGTGCCTTTTTGTATTCTGATGGTGGTGGGTTAATCCTATTATGTTCTAAAAGTCATGTCCTGCTTCCCTGAGGCTGTGGCTGATGATAAAGTCCTGTGTTGGATTTTTGGGTGAGAGATTGCTGGTTCTAATCCTATCACTCAGCTATGGTTAACTATCAAATCTTGCTCCAAGGGAAGATCCTATCTTGAATAGGTTTCTGCAAGCAGTATTTACTCACGAATGGGGACTCAGACTTTCTGAATGGGATTATCATATCTGCATTTCTACAGACCTGGTCTGCTGAGTTTCTGTTTGGGGCTGTTAAGAAAACCTGGGCCTGCTTTCCTTTGGGGAAATATATTCTGTTTTTTTTAATATCCACCAAACTATTTCCTTCTCTTGGGGAGGGAGTGCTGTCTTTCTACAATACTATAGCCAGAAGCAATATTGCTTTTAATGTAGTTATAATACCAACACTTACTGTACTGGTCAGCAGGCACTAAAAAAAAATGCAGTGACAACCATAAAAGAAAGCCTGTGGTGGATGATCAGCTTTGGACCTATAGCCTGCAGGATACAAAAATGTAAATTTATCTTGAACTGAATTTCAGTCTGATGACAACATGAACTTCTTGACATCAAAATGAAAGTGATTTGACAAACCTCTTTGGAATTCCGGGCTTATTGTCTGGGATTTTCTGATGGTCTCCCACACAGTTATAAAATAAGTCTAAGGCTGCAGCTAGGTACATTTAGGTTATCACCCTCTCCATATTTCCAAGCAGGCCGAACATTATATAAGTACATTTACTGCAGATCATCTTCAGAAGAAGATTTAAGCTATAAGGATATATAGGAATATGAATCTTTATATTAGTTAGTCTCCATATTGAATCTTTTTAAGTGCCCTTTTAAATGCCTTTTTAAGTGAATGCTGATCTTGGAGATTCTTGTTTGTATATTTTGTATGTATAGAACACCTTTCTTTGGCATGAGATACAAGTATTCTTCCTTCAGCACCTTCAAATCTTTTTCAAAATCACGTTTAATCACTTCCCCAGCCCGTTTGTTCTGAAAAAATTTTCTTCTGCACCCATGGCAGTGAAAAACAAAGTGAGAATCCCTATCTCTGAGGGAGATGGGTGATTAAGAAATATGATAGAGATAGATAGATAGACAGACAGACAGATAAAAATGAATGAATGAATGAATGAATAAACTAACAAATAAACAAACAAACAAACAAATAAATAAATATTTTTTAAAGTATTATTTTATTCTGCCCAACTGAAGGGCAGGTAAAGTGGGTAATTATAGCTACTCTTCAGAGCACCTATATTTTTAATTCAGTAAATACAAAATCAACTTAAAGTATAGAATATTTTTGAGAAGCAAGAGATCAAAAACTTATTTCAGTTCCACCACCAATTTTTCTACAAATTGTTTCAGATATTGCAATATATAAAAGGACAAGCCATTCCTTGCTTTTGTTTTAAATCACAATGCACTTACACATCTTGTGCTAAGTCATGGTTATTTTTAACAGTGTTGCATGGATTTACTATAAGATTTAACATAAGATGTGAACCACATCATTCTATTGGACATGTGAAAGGATGTTTTAAAACAAAGGAGGACTTGTATGCCTCCCTTTTTATAAATGACACATAACAATTTACTTCAGGATTTTTATATAATTATTTTATTTAGGAATGTGGATCAACCTAAAGTCCTTATGCATAAATCATCAATTAACCAAATTTACCTATGACAGACATGGTATATGTTTCAACTCTGTATGTCATTCTTTAAAACAGAGTAATATGCTCCATATTTATTAAAGTCTGCCAATGTCATCAATATGCTTTGAATAAAATTCCATATCTTCAAACTTTTTCAAATTAATAAATAAAAACACACATTTTGACCATAGTTGTTGTCAAAACAGTCTGCTGCTTGGAAGGATTCCTTCCAGCTAAATATAATTTGGTAAATTCCAAAGTTATGATTTTTTCTTTTTAAGTTTGTAATATTCTTTTCAATGGATTTGGAAACAACCACTGTGTGGAAGCCTGTTACTTACTGCAGGAATGACAGAGTAAAGAATTATGTGTTTTCCATCTTGAAAGGGCTGTAATCCAAAGCATTTTTATAACTAAATTGCAGTCTGAACTTCCATCCTGGGGAATTCTTATTATTCTTTCCTGTACAATATGTCTGTTAAGGCATTTGCTTGAAACAGGACAGAAGTAAAGTGACACAAAGTGGTGAGCATCTTACATCTTTTGCAGCTGGCTACCTTTTGTGATTTAAAAGATCTCACCAGAGCATAAAATAGTTCATTCTATTTGTGCTAAGTATATTGATGCATGGAACCAAATATGTTTTTCCCCTATAAACTATGGCTAAGCAAACTATGGCTTAGCATAAACTGCAGATAGGCTATGAAGCTGTGAAATCTAAAGAGAAAGGGGCGTTGTCTTACCTGAACGCCTTTTCTCAGCATGATGATGGAGAATCCACGGATGGGTTGTCTTAATCTATCTGCTCCAATTAGACTAAGTCTGAAATTTAGTACCGCCCCCTCTGTGCCAACTGCACCCCAGTTTTAGGCTAAGGCGATACTCAGACTTTAGTCCGACGCGTCTGAACAATATGGGAACCAGGCCAACTGACCTAATGGGAGGGAGTGGATTCTCCATCATCATGCTGAGAAAAGGCGTTCAGGTAAGACAACGCCCCTTTCTCCAGCATGATTGGATGGAGAACCCACGGATGGGACATACCAAAGCCCTGTGTCCCTAGGGTGGGGAATTAGATTGGGCCTGGGTCCCATCCAACGTTAATGCGTGTTCTAGAACCTTGCGGCCAAATGAAGCCGTAGAAGATGCATATATATCCCTCTTGTAGTGACAGACAAAGGAAGAGGGCGATGCCCATGTTGCTGCTCTACAAATTCCCTCTACGGAGGCCTGAGTAGACCAGGCAGCTGTAGTAGCTGCGCCCCAGTGGAATGGGCCGTGATATGTCTGGGATCTCGCAGTGACTGAGACTGGTATGCCAGAGAAATACAAACTCTAATCCATCTGCGTATTGTGGTTGAAGAAACCTTCTGACCTAGTGATGAAGGGTGATAGGACACAAACAGAGCCTCTGTTCTGTGGAAAGATGAGGTTCTCTGTATATAACAATATAAGCCCTGCGCACATCCAATTTGTTCCACTGAACCTCTATGTCATTAGATGGGTTAGGACAGAAGTCCAGCAAAACTATTTCCTGAGATCTAGGATACAAGGACTTGACCTTAGGCACGAAGGAGGGGCCAAGCCTAAGGGTTACCCTGTCCTTATGGAACATACACAGGTCCTTCCTCACTGAAGAGTAGCCAGTTCAGATATCCTTCTCGCTGAAGTTACAGCAACAAGAAATTCCACCTTCATCGATAACTGTTTAAACAAACCAGTGTCAATAGTTCAAAGGGTGCGAAACAAGAGCCTATAAACCTGAAGAAGATCCCACGAGGGGTATCCATGTACAGTTGATGGTCTGACATTGTTAGCTCCTTTTAGGAAGGAGCGTATCATAGGGTAATGTGTTAAGGATTCATTGCCACAGGAAATAACTGTGGCAAGTGCTGCTACCTGCCTGCGGATGGTGCTTGTGGAAAGCCCTTTGTCTAGACCATCCCTCAGGAACTCCAAGATAACTGGCATTGAAACCGCCAAAAGGTCAATTTTTCGAACTGAACACCAATTACAGGAGTCTCTCCATGTGGCATCGTATATTCTATTCGTCGAGGGTCGCCTGGATTGCTGAATCATAGCTATGACCCTTGACGAATATGAGTCTCAGCCTAAGGCCTGCCTCTCAAGTGCCAGACGGTTAACTGGAGTCATTGAGGGTCTGGTTGGCGTAGTTCCCCCTGAATGTGGGAGATGCGATTTGCTAGGATCCTCCATGGAGATGATGCGGAGAGCTCCATCAGGTCGGCGACCAAGAGTGTCTCGGCCAATGTGGCGCAACCAGGAGGACCTCTGTTCGTTCGCGAAGGATCTTCCTGATCCTGGCAGGAAGAAACGGCAGAGGAGGAAGGCATAGAGCAGTTCCCTGGGCCAGGGACTGCAGAGCGCATTTGTTCCCTCTGCTGATGGAGGTGGGAACCCGGAAAGGAATCTGGGAAATTGTGAGTTGGTGGGGGAGGCAAAAGGTCTAGGTTGGGGAACCAAACCTGTCCACGATCTCTCTGAACACCTTCGGATCCGGCTGCCATTCGGAATGGTCCATGGTTGCTCAGCTCAGTGAGTCCGCCTGCTGGTTGGTCACTCCGGATATGTGCTCCGCCCTGATGGAGGCAAGATTCAGTTCCGCCCAGGACCCCAGCAATTTGGCCTCCTGCATGAGAGGCCTGGACCTTGTCCCCCCTTGTCTGTTGACGTGGGCCTTGGCTGTAATGTTGTCGGTTAAAATCAGGACATGTTGGCCGTGTACTATATCGGTGAATCCCTTTAGGGCCATATGTATGGCTCTGAGTTCCAGCCAGTTTATATTGTTCTTTAGGTCCCGTTTGGACCACCGACCTTGAGCCCAGTGCGTGTGGAGGTGTTCCCCCCACCCAAACAGGCTTGCATCTGTGGTAATGGTAATCCTGTCTGGTTCTAATACTGCTCCCCGTAACAGCGCCGGGGAGTCCCACCATTTAAGGGAGTTCAAGTCTCTGAAATGGAAGGAGAAGCCATGTAATTCTCTGGCATGGAGGCGTGCCCATGGCACAATTTGCACGCAGGACACCGTCTTCCCCAGTAGCTGTGATAGGGAGGCCAATGTGACTACTCTGCCCCTTTGGATCCGACGTACAAGAGTCTGAATAGAGTTCCTTCGGTCC